GTGTCGGGCCCTGGGGCACAACAGTTGCCATAAGAACCACTGCTGCAGGTGCCTTCGAATGGGCAGTCACCTTGTAATGCTAACAGCTCACACTTTGAGAGTGCTTACTATCTGCCAGGCATTGCTTTGTGTGTTTACTCATTTAATTCTTCAACAACCCTGAAGTAGTAGGTCCTTTTGTTATCTAATACCGTATTTTTATAAATGGGCCCAGAGAGGCTAGGAACTTGCTCAAGGTAACTCAGCTGATAAGTAGAGGAGGCAAGATTCATACTCAGGCTGAGAGCTTGAGTGTACTGAAGTGCAGCCTTTTCTGCATGATGGACTTTATATGACTTACATGATAACTGACCTTGAGTTCTCATGATTAGAGAGGCTTTTCAGGTCAACTAGTGACATATCTTTAACTGGGTTAATTAGAATTTACATACCTGGGAGAAATAACAAACTAGCCACTAACTACATCAGCCAGGCTATGGGTATGAGTTCTAAGTGTCTATGGGAGCTCATTAGATTACTATCTTATTTAATTTGTGCCAATTAATAGATTTTTAACATTTCTTTAATTTGCTTTTCTTTAATTACCAGGGAAATTTAAGTTTTCCTGTAAATTGATTGGCCATTTGTACCTCTTGTTTTTTGAATTTGGTATTTTTATCCTTTGCTCTGGACATTTTTTTAGATGTGGTCTCAGTTCTCCTCTCCTTCCAGCATTTGTCCAGTCCCACCCCTGGCCTCCCTGTTGACCTCTTTGCCTCCCCACTCATTTCCTTCTCTTTAGCAGTTATGTAGAGAACTTGCTGTTTGTTTAATTCTAGTGGTGGGACAGATTCATTTTCTCTTTGACTTTCTCTCCCATCCGTAATTTGTGCTGACACCTGCCATTTATGAATTCCCTTTGGACGATCAGGTTCCCTATGTAAAATATGACATATTGTTGGAACAGTTTTATTTCCTGTACGAGTTTTTATGCATTCATACCTTAAGATGTGACACCAAAAAATACAGAGAAAGAAATCCGTACTTTTTCTCAACATCAACCAACTTTGGAACCAAATTCAAAATATCAGTGGGCTCTTTCATGGATGGACTCAAATAGAAAGCTCTTTGATAAGGAATTTCTCAGAAATGAAATTTCTTCATTAGTAAAAGTAGGAATTGGGAGCTCTGGTAGCATAGTGGCTAAGACACTTGCCTGCTAACCAGACGGCTGGCAGTTCAAACCCACCAGCTACTCCTCGGGAGGAAGGTTGGGCAGTCCTACTTCCATAGTGATACTGCCTCAGAAACCCAAGGAGGGGTCACTATGAGTCGGGTTTGACTCGACGGCACATAACAACAATAACAACAAAAGTAGGAATTTAGGTAATAGAAGGAGTACTGCAGTAGAAATTTGGTAAGTTAGATCCTAGTCCTTGTTGTAGTAGCTGGAAGTGTAACTGTAAGCAAACTGGTCTGTAAAATAAGGGGGATGGATTAGGACATTTCTGTCTCAATATTTTACTGTGGGTTCATTGAATTGTTGTTTCAATTTACTTAAGTAATCTGTTTGCCATGCCTGTAATACAAATGCCCATCAATAAGGAACTGTTTAAAAAGTATGGTGTGAAATAGTGTGCAGCTATGAAAAAGAATGTAGAAGTTTTACATATAAATGTATATGAAAATCTTTGTATGGTAGGTGTGGTAGTTGACATTGTATGTCAACCTGGCTGGTCTGTGATTCTAAGAAGCTTAGCAGTTATGATGTAGTTATTGCCAATAATGAGATTGGATATAACATAACCACTTCCATGATGAAATTTTCTATGAGCAGTCAGTCAGTTGAAAAGGAGTTACCTTCAGGGTGTGGCCTGCTTCCAGTAAATATAGAAAAGGTTTGGGAAAGGTCTCTGGCTTTTTGCTCATTTTGGATCCTGCATTTGGCTTGTCATCATCTCCGATTCCTGGACTTGACCCAGTGGCCTACCGTGTTGCCTTGCCCCACAATCTTGGGATTGTTCCTTTGCAGCCTGTGAGCCAACGGTCTGCCATTGTACCTGCTGACCTTGGATTCATCAGCCTCTGAAGCCAGTAGACTGCTGTGCTGCCTGCTGATCTTGAGTTTGTCAGCCCCTGCAGTTGTGAGTCAGGAGTAACCTCCTTGATGTTTGACCCACGGACTTGGGACTTGCCAGCCTCTACAACTGCATGAGCCGTTTCCTTGAGATTGATCAGTCTCCCTGGCATGCTCTCTCACTTGCTTGCTCCACTGTTTCTCTCTCGTATGTAAAAGCTTCACTGTTTTGTTTCTCTAGAGAACCCAGCCTAAGACAGTAGGTGCGGTGTAGTAAATTACTTAGTGTGGCTTTTCTACCCATAAGTCTTTGTAAACTCCAAGGTGGGATTTGCTATGAGCAACTGAGGAGCTCCTGATTGCTAAAGTTGTCCACCTGGAGTGTTTCTGTTGGGAGTGGCACAAAACAATGTTCTGGTAGGTTCCCACTCTCTCTCAGGTGCTTAGAGTTCTGATGCTATGATTGGCTAGTTTGGCCACTCTTCTGGCCTCAAAAAGAGGCCTCCTAGAGGCAGAATTCTCTCTGATTACTGGTTGAGGAAGACGTGCTGTTGAAAGAGACACACGCTCCTGAAAGAGACACGTGCTGCTGGGAAAGAAACGCAAGAGACACCCATTGCTGAGTAAGACGCCGAGGGACATGCACTGCTGGGGCAGAGCCTGTGAAGACTTGGCTGAGAGACAGTGGGCTGGGAGAGAGACTGAGCATTTTTCCTGAACTTGAATTGTAGCCTTGTGCTTCCCTAATAAACCCCATAACCTGTGAGTTCTGCATGGCCACTGCAGCGAATTATCGAACCCAGGAGAGAGGTGGTGGGTGCTTTGGGAGGAACGGTTGGAGAAAGGGCTGGAGGGAGGCAGCATGTCTGGCCTCACAGGAATAGGCCTTGAGCTATTGATGATGATTCTGTCTTTCTCTTGTGGAATTAGAGGAGGTCAGAAGATGTAGCCTCCTTGCCCTTTTTGCAGTAGGTAAGCAATGCAAAGTGCAGAAGAGTGGATGAAGTGTATACTGGACCTCCATGTGCCATCCAGACCTGCTCCTCTTCTTCCTTTCAACTGCTTTGGCACCAGGAGACTGGCCTGCATCAGCAGGTTCCCTGCCCTGGGATTCCAGGTGGAGGGCAGGCCTGGGAGCACTGGCAGGAGAGAGGAGAGTGGCTATATCCCTTCACTGCAGGCTGACCACCTTGAGAAGCCCTGTCCACTCAGCTGTCTCCGTTCTCCCCCGGCTCCTCTGTTTCTCCTCCAGAGTTCTGCACTATACCTTGTTTTCTTATACTCTGCCTTCATCACACTATCTTCCAGTTACCGAATTGGAAAGTGCCATCTGTTTTCTGCTGGATCACTGATACAGTAGGCTATCTTTTGGGTAAAAAGAGAAGAAAAATAGGAATATATATTTGTACTCTGGAAGATACATAAGAAACTTATAAAAGTAATTACGGATGGGGCTTTCAAAGGGAGGTAGGGCAGTGGGAACTGAGCCTGAGGAGAGAAAATCAAGAGAGGGAGACTTTTCACAGTATCATTTCTGTATTGTTCCTGTTTAAATCATGTGAATATGTTACCTATTTACACACAAAAAAAAATTTTCGTTAAGACTCATGCACTGAATTTAAACTGTCTTTAAACACAGCAACTTCATAACAAGATTGGCAATGAGGACTAATACACGCATTATTTCAAAATGAGCCTCCTATTGCAGAAGCTGACCAGCAAAAAAGAAGCAGACCAGGCAATCAACAGTACTGCAGAACACCCACCAATATAGATAGGTTTGACAGAGGATATGCATTTATATGAGCTGCAAATACACCCATGAGTATAGTAGAGCATACAGGGGGCAAAGCTATGAAAGTTCTTATCCAAAAGCATATACTTTGAGAGAATGAGTTGCTGAGCCTGGGGTCTTAGGACCATACTTATGAGGGACATCAAGGTTAATTGGCCTGATAAAATTTGCAAAGACAGTGTTGTGCATCCTACTTTGGTGAATAGCTACTGGGGTCTTAAAAGCTAGTGAGCAACGATATAAGGTGCAGCTATTGATGTTCCTGTCCAGAACAAAGAAAAGTGAAGACAGTCAAAGTTGCATGGAAATAATTAGTCCAAAGGACTAATGCCCCATATGAACCCCAGCCTCCACTACACAAAGACCAGGAGAACTAGGTGGTGCCCAGCTACCGCAGCTGACCACTCTGAAAGGGATCATAGTAGGAGTTCCCAGATATACTGGGAAACAAATGTGTAACTAAACTGACATTCATAAAACAAGATCAGGCTTACTGGTCTGACAGAGACTGGTGGAACCTCCAAGACTATGGCCCTTAGACACCCTTCAAGCCTGGACTGAAATCATCCCCATGGCTCACCTTTCAGCCAAACAGTAGACAGACCTGTACAGTGACCAGTAACACCAGGGAAGCGTGCACTCCTGTGAGTAACCATACGAGATCAAAAGAGTAGAATTTGCTCAGGGATAAAGCTCAGAAAGCAGGAAAAGTTAGGAAAAAAGGACGAATGGGGCAGAAAATGTGGGGAGGAAGTGGGAAGAGTGGAAATTGCAATCAGTGTCACAAAAAAAAAATGTGCATGAATTGTTGAATGGAAAATGAATTTGTTGTGTAAACATTCACACACCAAAAGAAAAAAAAGGTACTACAAGAAGGTGTTGGTTCTCAGGTTTGGGAGAGACAAAGACTTGTCTGTCTGAAGCTAAATAATATTATAAATGAATGTTTTAAATAAATGGTTTTTACTAAAATGTCCAACAATATTGTAGCTTCAATCACTGCAAAATGCATGAAGGGGACCAGGCAGGGTCTGGGAATATAGCTGTTTATTCATCAATATATTTACACTGAGAACCAATCATGTTCCTGCCACTGAGTTGAATCCCCCAGACTGTAATTACACAGTCTGTCCTGGGCGTCCTTCCTCACTAGCTGCTGTCGAAGCTAAGTTCCACCAACAAGGCAGCCACCTGATGAAAGAACAGAGTCACTCCAGGAATAAAACAAATCCTTTTGCCATCCCTGGGCCTTCTCCTCCCCATCCCACCCCATTTTCTGCTCTGAATTGTAACTGTGACAAGTTGAACTGCAGTAGCCATCTTATGGCCATGAGGCAACTTGCATCAGGATGAAAAATCAACATGGCTAAGGATGACAGTAAAAAGCATGATTTCCAATGATGGTATTGACCTGTTCAATGAACTCTAGATTCAACTGCCTCCAGACTTCTGTGAAAGAATTAAAAGTCTTCATTTTCTAGGTCACTGTTGGTCAGATTTTCTGTTACGGACTCAAATCACACAGTATGTGCTGTATGTTAAGTACTCAGACACCAGCAAAAGGTCAGACTGGCCTGTGCGGAGTCCTCATATCTCCCTCCCCCTGCAGGCACTTTCTGAACTCCTGACTGATAAGTCTGTGCTAAATGCCCCGTTCTGTACTCACTAGTACATAGACAGAAATGACTTAATGGGCAAGGAAAGAAAGCTCAGAGGAAAGCAGGTTGTGCTTGCTCAGAAAGGGAAGAGCCTTTCAACAGGAGAGAAGGGCAGAGGCCAGCGACAAGAGGGAGCTTTCGGAGAGCTGTGCAGCAGTCAGTGTTGCCAAAACCCAGAGGTGGGGACCACGAGGGCAGAAGATGCTAGGGGAGGAGGGCAGAGAAGATCACTGAATGGAGAAAATACCAGAGGTTTTGTTTCATTATTCTCCTCTTGATTAGTGACCAGAAGCCACTTAACACAAGCAGATTATTGTTCTGAAAAACTGGGACTTGTCTGGTGCTGCAGACACTCCCAAGAGTAAAAGGCATAACTGACAGCATTCTGAGAGTATTTTTGTTTTGATTGGGGTTCATTTGGTTTATACTGTGCGAGAGTGTACTGTTTTTTCATATCTGGATTTTCTCTCTTTTACAGCATATAGCATAACGGTCTGTGACCATCAAGAGACCACTAGCTCTAACTTGTTTATCATGAGGGTACATGTGAAGAGAATTTCCCAGTGAAAGCCAGACCTTGTTGGGGGGATCAGGGCATCAGGTCACATTTTACACCAAAAGAAGCATAGGCCATATTCTGGTGTGATAAGAACATGCATTGGTGAAGAGTCAGTGTACTGAAGGCTTACAGCAGGAGAGTTCAGTTAGAAGAGCTTCCTCTTGACAAGAGGTATGGAACCTTTCTCCAGGGAGACACTTAATAGCAAGATCCTTATGTCTGGGAAGTGGGAGACTCAGACAACTTGCATTTGATCTCTGGTAAAGGGTGGATTTGTTGCAAGTGGGAAAAGCACCTCCCGTTGAGAAAAAGACTCGTCACTCTTGACGGAGACTGGAACGTCTATGCTGGTAGGGACTCTAGACATCATGCAGGAAACAGAAGGCCAGGGAGTTAGGAGCACATGACAGATTCTTGGCTGGGATGGGATTAGTGCCAAACGAGTCCAGAGAGACTGTGTTTACACTCTGTTACTCTCTTATTCTGTTCGGTGTTTACACTCTATTACTCTCTTACTCTGTATTTGGGGTGCTACTGCATTGGAGAACAAACAAGAAAGGGTTGGCTCAGTGGAAACACTTTCTTCTCAACCCACTTTGGGCTCGCACCCTCCTCACTAGGCCTAGTTCACTTCAAAGGGGCAACATGGGGCAGTGAGAAGAGCTTAGGGCTTATAATCGGACAAAATACAAGCTTTGCTGTGTAACCGTAATCAAGGCTCTTACCTTCTCTGAGTCTCTCTCTACTTGCCTATGAAACAGGGATGACCAGAAACACCTTACTGAGGCCTGCCATTCAGTAAGTGCTCAATAGTGAGCATGAATGCCAAGGTGGGACAGTTTTTATCACATTAGGGATTTCTAGTTGGTTGAGGATTTTTCTCTACACTCTTAGTAAACTGCCTACCACTTGGCTGCCCCTGTCCATAAAGGAAAGAATAAAAAAGGTCAAAGACTAGAAACAGCACAGAAATGAGTCAAAAGAAAGCTGTTTAGAGGAATGGACACTGGGAAGAGGTAACTGTGGGGAGGAAGTGGGAGGGGAGCTGTTGCATTGTAAATTTTGGTCAATGACATGAGACAAAGTATATGTGAATTGCTGTATGAA